GACGTTCACTTGCTTATTTGTTATACTCGTTTTACGTATTTCCTTTGCCAGATATTGAAAGTTATCTTTTTGTTTTCTTTGGATATTTGGTACAAATTGTATTTTTCAGTTTGTTTATTCTTTACTCGCATTGTTTTTAAATCAGATTTAGCAAGGCCTTTTTTTGTTCATAACTAATGTTCATGAAGGATGAGGGATGTGCCTGTGCAACACTGGAATATGGGTATTGGTCCAATAACTTGTCATGCATGGAATAAGGATCGGACTCGTAAGTTAAATGTTAAAGAATTGAGTTAAATTGTTAATGGGTATGCTTTTCTTCTTTCGTTCAACTTATTATCGATAAGCTGCGCAAGTTTATACTTGTGACCTTGATGAGTGTGATTAGTCCTGACTTTTCTCGCATTTGATTGAAAATGTGCCTAAAAGTTAGTGTACTACTTTTTTTCGAGGGCCGTGCTTTTTCTTGATCATTAGCCTTTCCAAATGTCTTATCTTAGAAGAATGAACAGATGTTCTTTAATATTTGGGTTAATGAAGGAAAACAATTTCATATTTCCTGTTGCTCCTTTCATATTTTTCCTATAATTTGTGTCTCATTACAACTATCTGTCAGCTCTGACATTTTGTAAACAGTGCCCTGTGCTATAAACAGCGAGTTGGATGAAATAATCTAGGTTATAATATCCCGAAAACTTAGTAGCAAAGTGTGTTTTCCAGTCGCAGTATTCCTTTCACTTTTTTTCCTGAGAATCAACTGCTAAGACCATAATTGCTATGCATTTTAGCCTGTCTTCCCATACCAGTATTTTAGAAGTTGCTGTATCTGCGTCGAGCAACGAGATCCACATTTTTGCATGGAAGAATGGCGACTGGGTGAATACCGCCACTCTTGCAGAACATGATCTGCCAGTAACTGGCCTTGATTGGGCTCCAAACACGAATCGTATTGTGTCATGCTCAAGAGATAAGAATGCGTTTGTGTGGACGTACGAGGCAGACAAAGGAACCTGGAAACCTGAGCTAGTTCTAGTGAGTGGTCATCTGATATATATATATATATATATATATATATATATATATATATCAGTGCTTCACCTCTTCTTGTT